TTGATTTAAACAAATTTTCTTTGAACCCAAGAAATTTTTTCTTTGAATCAAGAAAATTCTGTTATTATTATAGAGAAGTCAAAGAAATAATTCTTTGAATTTTAAAGAAAAATTTCTTTGAAATAAATAAATCATTTTTGAATCAAGTAAATTTTTTTTATCAAATAAATTTTCTTCGAAACAAAGAAAAATTAATTTTCAATCGAAGAAACAAGTCAAAGCAAAAAATGATTTCTTTAAATCAACGAAAACTTTTTTCTTTGCTCAGAAACTAAACTAAATGAATTAATTCATTTTCATGTCACTGAAATCTGAACTGATTAAAAAAATTTTTTTGATTAAAATTCGTTTGTTTGTTAATTTAGTTTTCAGCTAAAACAAAACTAAATTCAATTAATTTCAGATCGACACGAAATAAAATTCAATTTATTAACTTAATTTTAATTTGTTGCAGAACTAAATTCGATTTTTCAATTTACTTTCGGTTTTCATTTCTCAACTAAATTCGATTTTTCAAAATTTTCTATTCGATACAAAACCAAAATTCGATTTTTTAATTTAGCTTTGATTTGAAACAGAACTAAATAATATTTAATTTAGTTTCAAATTAGCACAAAACTAAAAAAAAAACTAATTCCTAAAACAAAACTAAAATTTCGTGACATTCTCTCCAAAAATTTACCGAACATTTAAAAATTAAATACAGAAAAAGAATTCTTTTTTATTAAAAAGAGCTTATTCGAAAAAATTATAATTAGAAAAAAAAATTAAAAACTACATTACCAAAATTATTTTTCCGATAAAAATATGTTTTTCTACATAAGCAATTTGCATATAAGCGAATATAAAATAAAAAAAAAGTAGTACAAATAAGAGAAAAAAAAACTAATGGAAGTCGGAAAATCTGTTTTATAAGTTTACTCGGCTCTTTTCATGTAACGACTGATTGTAAAACGACCCTAAACTGCCTCTCATCCTAACGTCATATAAATAGTAGTCCTTTATGACCCTTTCCTCGATCCACTAACTCCACTTTTTACCACATGCACACACAACCCATATACACATACACAATTTTCTTCTTCGCATCTTTTTGCAGCACAAAAAAACTTAATTTTATATTTCACATTTTACTCCTCTTCAATGAAATTATATATTATTTTTTCCCACACAAAATAATTTCAAAAAGGGGAGGAAAAAACAAAAAAAAATAAAGTACTGATCGTTTTTTCAGAGTTTATAATTTTCAATTTGTCTACTTTTATAGTTTAAACATATTTTTTTTAATTTAAGGTTTTATGATATTAAAATTTTATGCCTACAATAACAACAACGATATTAATAATTAAATATTAATAAATTAATAATAATAGTAATAATCTCTCTAAATTTAAATTATTTTAAATATTTTTATTTTCTCTAAAATTTGAATCAGTAAAAATCCTTAGTAAATTGAATTATTATCTGACTTTTTCTTTTTAAATTAGTAAATTTTACCAATAAATAGTCATTTTTACTACTTTTTTAGTAAATTTTACTTATTAATAGTAATTTCTACTACTTTTTTTTACTAAAATTAACTAATTCCAAAGGAAAAAATCAATCACTAATTAAAATTAGTAATTTTTCCTAATTTAGATTTCGAGAGATAATTACACTGAAAAAAATTTATTTGTTTAAAATAAACGATTAAAATAACGTTTGTTTAAAATAACAATATCGTTAAATAAACGATTAATAAATATTTAATATTTACTAGAATCAAATATTTTTTATTTAAATCAGTTAAGCTGTGATTGCTTCAAAGATTAAATTTATTGATTCAAATTTATTTGATTTAAATAAAAAATTTTTGATTCAAGTAAATATTTACTTAATAATAGACAAGTAATCGGTTCTTTGAATCAAATAAATTTTTTTCCAAAGTAATAATAATTAAAATAATATATAATTTATGTCAATAAATCTCTTTCAAAGAAGAAAGGCGAAAAGTATGTTTAAATAATAATAATTTAATAATTTTAATTTATTTTGTTTTTATATATTTTATATTTTAATATATTTTATATTTTAATATATTTTATACTTTAATACATTTTATATTTTAATATATTTTAAATTTTAATATATTTAAAAAAAATTAATACCTTTTGAAAAGTTTAATATAATTTAAATAAAGTTTCAAGCAAAAACTAAAAAAAAAAATATCAACGGGGAAGAAAGAAAAAGTGACTTAAAAAAAGAAACCCTTTTTAATGAAGTTATAAAAAAAAAGAATCTTGAAATAATTAACTCTTATATCCAAATTGGTATAAGGAAATAAAGCATCACGTTCAGATGGCCTTCTCGAGTTAACGCTCATTATTATATATGCCGATAATTAACCGATGATCTTGAATTATCGTTATTGATCATCATCATCATCATCACTCTACCAACATATAATATTTAGCGTCATTATAACTGATAAAATTTAATTAATTACAATATATCGATTTTATAATCCCTCTTCCTTGTAAAAACATATTTCAAAATGAAAACAGAGCAAAAAAGAAGAAAAAAAAATTATAAAACTACCCTCCTTTATTATTATCATCATTATTACTATATAAATTATATTATAATTATATTATTTTTCAAATTAAAACAGTTATTTCATTTCTAATTAAACTAATTATTTTCCTTTGTAATATAAACTGAATTCAAATCTTCAAACGATTTTAAATTTAAACATCTGGCTCTATAAATGTAGTTTTTAATTTACAGTTTCTTTATAAATTTTTTTTTTTATGAATATTTTATTATTTCATTATTAATAAAATTATATGTGCATTTATTAATTATATTTCTCATCGAAATGGAAAATTACTTTCTTTTACAAATTCGTTTACAAAAGGGCGAATAATAATTTTTTTTTTCGGAAAAAATAAAATTGTTTGCGTTCTGGTAAAATAAAAATTTTCTTTTACTAAAAAGAAAAATGAAAATATTTCACATTTTATTGCCATGTACAATATTAGAAATAAATTTAATTTTCCTTTGTGTGGTGAAAATCTGTATGTGACGTAGTCGATTATTTCGTTTTTGATCACAATTTTGCCCCACTTTCATTAGTAAGCAATGCTTTATTAATTAATGTTCAAAGTCATTAACTTAGATTAGAACACGAAATGATGCCAGTAATTTAGAAAATATAGTATTATTTCCCAATTTCGATAATTGATATTTCCTTTTGTTAACTACTTCTGCATTATTTTCCCTCTGATTTTTTTTTACTTTTCCTTTCTTTAAATTTTCTACTGTTTTCTTTCTAATTTCTGTTTTTTTTTCTAATTATTTACTTGGAATTTACAGTAAACTGAAATATTTGTCTAATTTTTCTGCTTTAAAATAATTTTTAACTTTCACCAATTTTTTTTAAATATTTACTCAATTTTTGTATATTTTTAAATATTTACATTTTCTGAATAATTATTTAATTATTACCCATAATATAAATATTGTAATTGATTATTATAATTAACTTTTTAAAACTGATTATTATAATTAATTATTATAGTTGATTATTTAAGTAATTATTTAATTCATTATTGTAACAATTGTTTATAATAATAATATTTCCTTCATTTCTCTCCTATTTTCCACTTTCCTGATACTTTTAAAAACTTCTGCAAACTTTACATCACATGACTCAACATTGTAAAATCTCCGTCTAACTCTATTCACAAAAAATAATTTGATTGAATAGTAAAATATTTTTTAAAAAAATTTTTTAAACCATTTTTTAAAAAATTTAACAAAAAAAAATTTTTTGCAAAAAAAGAATTGTTTTTCCTTATATATTGAGGAAATATAAAAATTTTATTTCATCTTCAGAAATGAATAGTAAAATAGGAACTATTTAATTTGAACGACAGTAATTCTAAACTTGTGCAGAAGAAAGAAAACCATAATTTTTTATTCCTCTACTAAATAAATTTTTCTATAAAAATTTTTCTCCTCCATTCTATATTATGAGAAAAAATATTTCTCATCCCGATTAGTATTTTTGCATCTTTTCCCAAATATAATATAATATCTCATAAAAGAAGAAAATTTCCACGCAAAACAAAATGTTCCCAATTAATTTAAATCGTAATTTATTCCATTTTTTTACAATTTAAATTTATTGAACTAATTATTATTACTCGCGAATAAAATTTCAGCCAAATGAAAACATTTACTATAGAAACTTTTACAACTTTCTCTGTTTTATTATCATTTCTATTGTTATTACAATTATTTTATTTTTATTATTTTCTTTATTATTATTTTTATAATTATTATTATTATTATTATTATTATTCTTATTATTATTATTATTATTATTAATATTATTATTTCTGTTATATTAATTTTATTACATTCTTTATTATTATTTCCATTATTTTTATTCATTAAAATTTTTTTTTTTTGTTTAATTGTTAGATATTTATTTTAATTTGTTATTTATTTAGTTGTTAGATTTTTTTTATTATTTATTTAACTGTTAGATATTTATTTTATTTTCTTAACTGTTTAATTGTTAAATATTTTTTTTTATTTTTTTAATTGTTGGATATTTATTATATTTTATTTGTTAAATTATTAAATATTTATTTTATTATTATTATTATTTTACTAATTTTTACTACTCCTGTCATTAATATTATTATTCGAATTCCGTCATTCAAAACACATGAGATTTCCTGTCATATTTTTCAAAGAATGTTTCACTAAAAAATTTAAAAAGAATAATATTTTTTTTAAATTCTTTTATAATATTCAAGAGAGAAATTTTGTTTTCAATAGTAGAAAAACTGTCAAAAGAAAAAATTGAAAAAACAGAGAACAAAAAATTGCAAACAAAAACTATGTAGAAAATTGTATATTTTTTTAATAAAAAAAAATTGAGAGAAATTTAAGAAGAATTTTTTTTTTTCTTTAGAAAAAAAATAGAAGATGTAATTTCGTAATCGCACCTCGGATCGAGAACGGCGCCGGCGGGAGTTTCGCGGTTTGAGAGAGAACTGTCGCCACCGCGTGGCTCGAAAGCTCCAAGTTCCGAAGCGCTTGCGCGTGAAAGCTCTCCTTTTTCTCGCGGTACAGCAAGAGGTGATTTACATCTCTCCCTCTCTACTCAACTCTAGCCACAAGTTTCACGTTGTCCTTTCCTCAATTCCATCCCCCCTTTTATTTTCTTTCTCATCCCCACTATTTTGTCTTTCGAAAAAATATTTATTTTTTTTTTGTATTAATATTATCAATATTAAAAATATTTTTAATATTATCCATACTTAAAATATTTTTAATATTTTCGATACTAAAATATTTTTAATACTGTTTAATAGTAAAATATTTTCAATATTAAAATATTTTTAATATTTTCAATACTAAAAGTTTTTTAATATTTTCAATAGTAAAATATCTTTAATATTTTCAATATTACATTTTTAATATTTTCAATACTATAAAAGATTTTTAATGTTTTCAATATTTAACGTAAAATTCAATATCAAAAATATTAATTAACTATATTAATCTCCGTATTCTTTCATTCATCTGCATTTTTCTATAACCAATTTCGTTTGACTGATCTAAATTATTATTATGCAAATTATTCTCCTTTTTATTTATAAAAAATACTAGAAAATTGTTAATAGTTAAAAAATTTGTATTAAGAAGTAGGAAAATAATTTTTATAAATTATATTTGTCAATTAGAAAATTTCATTGAAAATGAAACTGAAAATTTTTTAATTTTTGTAAAATAAAGAAAAAGATTTTATTGAAAAAAATGTTCTGTTAAATTTATTTACAAATATGAATATATTTAATTATTGTTATTTTCCCATAGGAATTAAAATTCAAAAAATTTCAAATTCTAACCTTTATGAAATTAATCAATTAATCAACATTAAAAGTATTGTTATAAAACATAAAGACAACGATTATTCCGAGTCGAAGACTCGGAGTAATCGATTTCTTCATTTTTTATAATAATTAAAGAGGATCGAGTGTTAAATTAAATATTTTCTATTATAAGAATATTGTTACTGTAACTTCTTAAAAAATTATTTTCATATGCTATTATTATCTAAAATTTAAACTAAAATTCATTTTCAAATCAATTTTTATATTAGAAAATTCTACAAGAATTCAATTATTTAAATGCAAAAGTAAATTACTTATTGAATAATTAATAGTACTTAAAATTTAATACTTATAAAAAATTTTATTAACAATTTTTTAATAAAAATTTAATAAAATTTTTTTTAAAATTGAATTTTTTGACGAATTTTAATAAAATTTTTTAGAATAGTTACATTTTTCAAGGAATTCGATTAAAATTGTATTAAAAATAATTGAAATTATATTTGTCAATTATACAAAATTTAGTTGAAAATGAAACTTCTGTTAAAGTGATTTACGAATATCTTTAATTGTAAAATTATTTGAAAACAATTTATTTTTTAAATATTTTAAATATTTAATTATTATTATTTTTCCATATGAATTAATATTTTCAAAAGTTTTAAATTCAAACCATTTTTAAATTAATCAACTTTAAAAAAATTTTTATAAAACATGAGGAAATCGATCACTTCGAGTCGAAGACTCGGAGTTATCAATTTCTTCATGTTTTATAAAATTAATTAAATTTTATTCAATTTTTTTAATACAAAAGTAAATTAATTACTGAATAATTGAATGGTTCTTAAAATTTAATTCTTATAAAAAATTTTAGTAACAAATTTTTAAATAATTGAATTCTTTTGATGAATTTTAATAAAAATTTTTAGAATAGTTACATATTTCAAGGAATTTAATTAAAATTGTACTAAAAATAATTGAAATTCTGCCATGAATTTTACTATTTCTGGAAATAATTGAATTATTGAGAAGAAACTTATAAAAAATTTGTAAATATTTGAATTCCTGTGAAATTTTTATTATTTATGAAAATAATTAAATTTTTGCGTACAATTTTATTTAATTTTGTTTAAATAATTGAATTCTTTTGGGTAATTTTATTAAAATTGTAGATATTAAAAATCATTAAAATGAGAAAAAATTTGTAAAATAATTGAAATTTAGACAAGAATTTTATTAAAATTTTTGAAAATAATTTAATTTTGAAGATTTTTTTTTATTTATAAAGATAATAATTGGGATTTTGTTGAAATTTTTTTGTAAATTTTGAACATAATTGAATTTTGTGATAAATTCATTCAATATTGAAATTTTATAAAATTTCAAATTGAAACTGTTTGAAGTTCATTTATTTTATGAAAATTGTAAACACAACTCTTTTAAAATTGAATTAATTTTGAGATATTTAAGTAAAATTATTCATTAAATAATTTATTTATTTTATGATAGTTGTTGAAAATTTAAGTCATTTAAAAAGAAATTTTTGTCAGAAATTGAAAAAATTGAAGGTTTTGTTTTAGAATTCGTGGAAATTTTATAGTTTATGAGTCAAACAAAAAAGACACAAAAATTCAGAATTTTCTTATGAATTCTAAAAATTTAATTTTTTTCAGTACTTTTAATAAAAATTCCTGATTTTTTCCTGAATTCTCTTTGTCAGAATATATGATAATTATAGTTATAATAATATTAAATATATATATATATATTCCAATTTATATTTTATTTTTATAGAAAAAAAATTTGAATTAAAAATTTTTACGTTCTATTATTTTTAAAATTGCTAATTTTATTTAAAAATAATTAATAATTTTACATTAATTTTGTAAATCCTTTTTTATTCGATTATTGGAACGTCTCAAAAAAAAAACATAAAATACGTCAAGAAATTACGAGCGAATAGGTTAACATAAAACACGGACATCTCATACGAGTGACAAAACAAGACTTGTTTTGTCACAAAATTAAAATTTAATTTTACATTAAATTTTTTTACTAAAGCGATTTTCTAAGAAATTTTATTATTATTATTATTTTCTAAAGAAAACACACTTTACGCAAAATTGTAAACTTCTCCCCCATAAAATTATTATTCTCCTTAAACTATTATTCTCATTTTCCTTTCGATAAAATCACCTGACTAATTTCTAACTTTCGCAATATACACATATACTATAACCATCGGAAAGAATTAATAATAGCATCAATCGTTGCTCAAGGTCAAAGTTTATCGTTCACCACCGTGCATATTATAAAAATCCACGATATACACAAAAGCCCGACTCTTCAGTGCCTTTCACTCAAACACTCGAGGTTTTTTTTTTTTTTCTGTAACAAGGCTTCTGTAACAATACGTGTGCGATATGGAGAGAGGGGGAAGGGGGTAGAAAAAAAGTGATTGTGTGAATTATTGGATTTTACTTTGAATAAAACAGCGGCTTCAATAAATTCCATTGAAGCATATTTGAAAAATATCACTATATAAATAAGGGGCATTTTCAAAAACAAAATTTTTTTTTGAATTTAAAAATTCCCAAAAAAAATTGTTTCCTTTGGAAAAATGAACATTAATTGACTTTTAATAAGAAGGATTTTTGTGAAAATTGAAATAATTTATATTTAAATAATAAAACATTTTAAATACTGAAAATATTTTCAGTATTTAAATAATAAAATATTTTTAATATTTAAATATCAAAATATTTTCAGTATTTAAATACAAAAATATTTTCAGTATTTTAAGTTGTAAAATATTTATTAAAATATTTGAGAGTAGACGAAAACTTTCTTCAAAAGTAGTAAAAAATTTTCTTAATCATTCTTTCCCTTAATTTCGAGAAAAAATTATTTTTTCTTCCAGATATTTTTCTTCTAAATACGTCTACATATATATATACGTCTACAATTCCATTAATTAAATATGCAAATTGAATTTATTCAATCAAAAACAAAATTATCGAACTAATTATTGAATTCCTTTGTATTTTTTTCCAATTTAATTAACTCTACTCACGTGAAATTGCGCCGATCTTATTCACATTCCTTTTATCATTTATTTTCCTTGAAATAATATTTTTTTTCCGAAAAAAAATTTGTGTTTTCTTAAAGAAAAGAAAAATTAATTAATTTGAAATCTTTTGAACTAACGACACGATTATTTATTCACTATAATATTGAAATCAAAATCAGAATTGTCGACAATAAATATACCTATTTATTATAAATTTTACAATTAAAAATTATTTCTTTCGACTAAAAATTTGTATTTAATTTAATTATATTTGGTTTGAGAAAGAAACAAAATTCTTATTTTGTATTTTTATTTTAAACATTTGCACTGAAGAAACATAATTAACTCTAAAAAAAATAATTATAGATTAATTAGTTTTGAGATTTAGTTCATTATGTTCATTTAAAAAGAACCGGAATTTATGTTTGAATTAAATACATTATTTCTTTAATTGAAACTAATCATTATTTTCTCCAGGAAATATAAATATTCCCGAAATTTTATTAGAAATAATAGTTATTTGACACAAAACATTTTAACAGAAAATTCATTTCACATAAATAATCATTTGGCGTGAATTTTATTGTACATAAAATTCATTTGGTATAAACGACATTTATATAAAATGTCATAAAATATAAAATAAATTTCAGTTCAAATAAATTTTATTTGACATAAAACTAATTTAATGTAAAAGTAGTTTAACATAAATGTCATTTGATATGATATTCATTTATGATATAAATTTCATTTGACATCAATTAAATTTTATTAAATTTCATTTGACATCAATTAAATTTGATTAAATTTCATTTGACATCAATTAAATTTGATTTAAGTCTCATTTAACAAAAATTGAATTTGACTTAAATTTCATATGACAATGACCTAAAATTAATTTGACATAAATTTTGACTTATTTTAAAATTCGCTCCTATATTTTTATGTCAAATGGAATTTATGTTAAGTGAATTTAATGTCAACTGAGAATGATAAATCTCAAAATATGTAAATTAGGAGTAATTATGTCAAATGAAGTTTATGTCAAATGAGTTTTTATGTAAATTCAAATTT